GTACCCACGGAAGGCGGAAGGCCGGAGAGAAGTGTCCTCAACATCACTGACACGGTTCACGTAAAAGCAGCTCTTGAGCGACTTTCGTCTACGAGCACTGAGTGCTTTAAACGGCTCAAAATTAAGTGTCTATAGGCATAAACAGAGCTGGTGCTTTGGGACCTCTTATCGTCCTGCCTGCGTCCCATGCACCCGCCGGTCGCCCAAAACAGCGATGGTAATGGTTCTCCGAAGGGCTCACCGAGCGACAAAGAAAACACTAATAAGGATAATAAAAACAACCAACCCGCCATCTGCCTCCAGCCTTTATAAGGCGCCTTTGTTTCGGAAGCTAGGAAGTGTGGTCGCCGTGGCAACTAGCTCGAACGCACCTTATTATGCAGTCTCTTCGCTACTCTGCGAGGTTCTGGCTGACGTGAAAAACCGGTCCGGGTCCCGACTTTTTAACTCGCTAAACTTTTCCGCACGACGGGTGGGAAGTCTTTCAGCCGCTGATCGGGCCGAAAAAAAAGTTTGGCTTTGCGGGAAACTATTTTTGCGCCGATCAGGAAAGCAGACTCCTTGTGGCCGCTCTTTCGTAGTTGGAGTTACTCCACAAGCTTTGGTGCGTGTGTTTTGACGTGATCGACATGCACGACTTTGATGTGAAAAAACAAAATAAAAAAACGCTTGCTGTTACAGTACCGTTTGCACTTATCTCAGCTTATGACACTGACTTTCTGTGGTAGATCTTCTGGCTACTACCTATTTCATACCACGTACAGTAAACGAAGGTATAACTTTTAAATTAGGACACCATTCATTGCGCTTTTAGCATTTTTACACACCCATACAGGGGTAGTTCCTTCTTTCTTTATTGATGGCTAACATCCTAACCCAGAAACTGGTTAGATATAAATCTCAAACCACCCCTGCTGGAAAAAAAAAAGTAATCAGACTTCCTATATAAGCGTTCAGAAAAGATAGTTGTGATCATTAGTTCAAGCTAGTTATTGTGTGGTCTTTGCAGGCTCCTCTGATAAAGGTAGTCGTTACGAATTCCTGGCTTTTACTCAAATTTACTGTGGTGCTCGAGTTGCATGTCACTTTGCTGTGCACTGTAGCTCAGGAAACATGAACGAGGGTCTTTCTTATATTACTACATACCTGCATTGCTATGATTAATATATCACACGTTGTGAGCTGAAGGAAGTAAGGAAAATAGGAGGAAAAGAATGGCAGGGAGGTTAACCAGCCTACAGCCGCCGCTTCGCCACCCTGCGCATGGGAGGGGGATGGGGGAGAGGAAAGATAGAGAGCAGAGAGGGAAGAGAGATAAACACAACACATTCGGCAGCACACGCCCGCACATTGTTAGCTGAAACTTTATAATTTAGGTTAAAAACTTCAGGTTGAGGAGAAACGACGAGATAGCCTCGTGCGCAAAGAAAAAAAAACCTAGCTATTCAATTAGAACATGCAATGCAAACACACATACAAGCCCCACGTATCAAAAAAAATAATCAATTGTCCTTTAAAAATCCCAGACAAAAAGTTTTATTCGAAAAGGCCACGTATCTGTAATTTCTGCATTGCGTGGTTGAGCCCTTGTTTTAGTCATAGCTAATATTGAGCTCGTAGATTTTTAGCATTTGAACTACGTCACATCGGGGAAAGCTAGCCCAGTGGCTATAATACCCACACCTTTCTTATTGCGCAATTGATATCAATTTTTGCTTAGCCAATTTTGTTGTATTTTCCCCAATTATTTTCACTTACACTTCATGCACACCTTATTGCTTTAAATTACTTTGTGTTACTCCTAATTACTGATAGATAAACTCATTTTCCTTTTATTCATTCTAACTTTATGTACAATCGTTTAATTCGCTCGTAATTAATGCGCATTCTTTATTGATGTTTGATGACTCGTATGCACTCTTCAAGTTTCTGGTACTATTGGTATGTCGACGGCTACTTTTAAAGTTTGATGAGACATATAAGCATTTAGTCTTAGTGATGGCGCGTGTGCTCTGTGCAGACGACCGTATAGTATTGAGGGCATTACCTGACTGTGACTTAAGGAACAGCGAGTACTTGTAAACGGAGAAGATGTCTCAATGTTCTGACAACTTCAACAGGCTGTTTTACTGTTCTAACACAACCTATTTGTGTCTCTCGTTTCCGTTGTCGCAGTACAACGCAAAGATGAGAAAAAAACCAATATAAACAGACACTCGTGCCAATATATTGTTCTAACTTGGGCCCCTCATGTGGTGCAACAGTGAAAAAAAGATATAGCCTTTGCTAAAACTCATACTTCGGTATATGGGTCTTAACGTTGTCTTTTTTCTGCTCTACGGTACATCGACATAATCCTTCGCGAGCCTCGGAATTTCACGTTTGGGGAATGAAATAAATGTTAAAAGTAGCCTTATATAACTTGTCTACGAGCTTAGAGGCACTAAAAATAAGAGCGATTTTTTTCGTCTTGGTGAAGTAATTTTTCACAGTACCCCAATCAGCGCGCTTTCCACCAGAAGACGCTTGCGAAAGGACAAGAAACAGAGAGATAATAGGAGAAAAGCAAGAAGGTCAATCAGAATCATAGCACATGGTTTACTACCCAACACTGAGGTAGGAGAAACAGAAAGAAAAATATAAATGAAAGTGGAAAGAAAAGCAGTTGCACTAAAAAAAAGCGCAGCTTTCACAAAGCACTAAGCCATGTGAGCCTTCAAACAGTGATACTGGATGGCTTTGAAGACTAATATAGTAGTTTTCACCTTGATTTGATAGATTTGTGGGGTTTAACGTCCCAAAACCACTATATGATTATGAGAGACGCCTTAGTGAAGGGCTCCGGAAATTTAGACCACCTGGGGTTCTTTAACGTGCACCCAAATCTGAGTACACGGGCCTAAAACATTTCCGCCTCCATTTGAAATGCAGCCGCCACAGCCGGGATTTAATCCCGCGACCTGTGGGTCAGCAGCCGAGTACCTTGGCCACTAGACCACCGTGGCGGGGCAGTATTTTTGACCTTATTTCTAGGCCTTAACGAAATGAAGCATGTAAATGAAAATGAATATTAAGCTTTGAATATCTATTCTATAGAAGAACCTACCATAGTAAAATTAATGACAGTGGAGTTTCCGACAAATAATGTATAGGTCGAAAATTGTTTCTTCCTTTTTTCGAGCTCCATCAGGCAAAGTTTTCATAATGAAAAGTTACAAAAGACCGTCATAATACTGTCTTTCAAAAATTTTATATACCGACGCCACCTGACACAACATATAACTTTTGCTTTCTACCCTTTATCAGCAATGTCGCTTTGCGTTCCCGAACGCATTAGGCATGAAATGCACAACAGCAAGAACAAAAAGAACAATATGTCTCATAGGAGCCACGACACTTCCTGATGAAAAAAAAAAGATCCATCATTACTTACTAACGGCGTATGACGTACGGGAAGACCATTCAGCCACGCTTGCAACGCCTGTTATGCATATTGCCATTTATAAAATGAATAAACGATTAGTGCTTCTTAGTTCCAATACCAGCTCGTTCAAACCACAAGTGCTGCATTTGAATCTTTCGTACTTGCGCACATCTTCCATTTAGACTTGTCCTCTCTCAAGGCCATGATTTGTTTTGGCTAGTTTAGAATCATTTGCATTTTACTTGTGCCATCTATTATGTCACTTACCTGGGTAACTAATTCGTGCACTCTGGGCCAGAAAAGCACAATCTCGGTCGTCGCAACTTAAGCTTATGCAGTGTGATTAAAAGTGATATTTGAGAAAGTAATCATGTCCTATTTTAGATACTGTCCTAAACTTTTTAAAAACCTTCTTAAGCGCTCAATTAAAGTGTGTGCAGGAAGCTCTCACAGATACAACACTTCACGTCAATACATTTTTTTTTTTTTGCATAGGACACCGTTGCTCACCCACTGTTTGAGCCTCGACAAATTGGAGACCGTTGGGAAAAAGTACAGAAGAGGTATTGCGTGCGAGAACAATTCAAATGACAAAACAACCTGCACAACTAAATAAACTTCCTGAATATATTTGATTCATGCAATGAAAAAATTATCTTCCCATAGATTCACTTACAGTAGTGAATCTCTGGGTCTTTCGGGAAACAAGAATGTTTACGCAGTGGTTAATTTTTCACGCATCTAAGGTCGTAGTGACAATGTAATTGAACCTCATTGGCATACGCCAGCCCGAGCATTTAATTACTCTGTGACGTTTTGGTAAGCCGAAAAGGTATTGTTTTTGTAGTCTTTTCAACCACTGTGCTTGTTAAAACATAGTGTAGCATATTGTACACCAGAAGTAGACCCTTACAACACACTCGCCAAGGACGAGTTTATCAAAAGGAACATAAAAATAAAACATACAAAAAAGTGACCCAGAATAACTGCGCAATCGGCGTCACGTGATAATCTTGCCAAAAGTACAAAGATAAAAAAACAAGCAAATAAAAGAAAAATCCATCATCGGTTAGCTATTTTAACGCCATATATGCAGCCATACTGTTGGACAGCAAAAAAAAAAACAGCAAAAAAACACAAAAGCCCACAATATATCTACCCCCCCTTATAAAAAGTACTTAATTGTTGTAAGTATCTACTTCTTGTCCTCTAGTTTGAGCTAGTTTGAATAATATGTGTTTGTTAAATTTGGTCATTTTGACAATTGCTTTGTCCGTAGTTCATTTCCATATCAGATCACAGTTATCGTGATCTTTGCCGAAATACGTATTCACATGTTTACTTGGTACAAAAGATAAGGTATTAATTATTTAAAAATTTACGTGACAAACCTAAATAAAATAGATTATTGATGTTAAAATGCAGCTGATTAAAATATTCATCACCTCCTTATCAATTCTGAATATTTACTTGTAGCAGTGCCGACATATCAGACCTTTGTTAAGGCCATGAATTAGCGTTGTGCTTTTTTTGCGATTGGCTGACAGTGTGCTTGCGCGATAATTTCCATGTGCAGGTTCTGTGGATACGCAGGCGGGACTACAACGTACTCACTGTGGGTCTCGACACGTACACGGCTGACGATCGCTTTCAGGCGGTTCACCTGGAACGATCGTCTGACTGGGCCTTGCAGGTGCGCTACGTGCAGCTATCGGATCAGGGTCTCTACGAATGCCAAGTCTCTTCAGACCCGAAGATCAGCTACTTCGTTAACCTCACCGTACTAGGTAAGTATTCATGAGCACACGTAGGAAGACGAATGTATTGAGGGGCCTGTTTTCTTGTTTCTTCTCAAACGCTGCCATAAGTTTTCTTGTTAAACGCTTTCCCATATATATATATATATATATATATATATATATATATATATATATATATATATATATATATATATATATATATATTTTAGCAAAGGTATCACAATCTCACACATATTTTATTATTAAACTAAAATGTCCGTAGCCTCTGTTGTTAATCTTACGAGGCCTAACGACTGCCTTGACCTCTGCTGGCGCCTTGTTATAACTTTTAGGGACCCCCTTTCGCAACACCGATACAAGAGGGTTCTCGGCCTCAGCCAGGGAGCGCTGGTCACAGCCCAATCGACACTGCCTCCATTAAACGGGATCCCTCCAGCAGCCCGGGGCTCTTCCTGCTTGGGCCCTACGCGACGAACCGAAGATACGGATAAACACAGAACACGGCTGAACAGAACAGAAGCAACGACGCACCGGCAGTGGGAGCCAACACACGAGGAAATAAACGCAGCTGCCGAGCGGTTCTCGGGGCAACACAGAGGAACCCACACACTATCGAGACCCAATGAAAACAAAGAACCGGTTCATTAGCAATATTGCCCTCCCCGTTCGCCCCCCTTTCTTCTCTCTACGAGGCGGATAACCCGTTCCTTTTGTCTCGCGGCAATGCTTGCCCCGACTTAGTCGGCCGCCGGAGGCCCACACCGCAACGCCCTTGCCATCTTGATTATCATTCTTGCACCCCGGTCCTTGATAGTTTGCCCCCACCCTCATCATTTCTCTAGTTGTTGCGGGCCTCACAATGACCGCTGGCATTAGCAGGGTCATAAGCGCAAGCCCACCCTCGGAGGCTCTGCTCGACAATTGGAGACCGACGCATCTGTTAATAGGCTACCGAGTTGTCGCTTCGCCCGAATGAGCACCGTTCATTCGCCCCTAAAGCTTGAACCTCCACAGCACGTGTCGCAGTCATTATGACCACGCATCCAAACGTTCTCGCTGAAGCAGTGCTTTACTTTCGTACAAGTGTTGTAAGGTGCACTGGCCGGACGCCGAGCGACACAGGGTGATAGGGTGTTTTATTTGCAAGATATAGATGGAGTCCTACGCGTAACAAACGCTGTTACAGAGTAATAATATGCCAGGCACGTTCGCGCCCTGATGCGGCACTCTTCTAAGCTTCGATCAAAAGCCCAATTCCAGAAACCTGCTTAGGGAGCACAGTGATTATTGCTTTCTACTGGTACGTGGTCAAGCGGGAGTAATTCTTCGATACTGCTCAGCGAACACGCAGCATCCCAGGATGTTAATGTCATAGAACAGGTTTACCAGCTTTCGGTCATTTTGTGCCTTGAAATAATTACTTTATTTTTTTACTGGCTTATTCTCATGGCCATGCCTCTGCATTTGTGAATATTGTGTTGTGAACAAGTGGGCAACAGAGTGCCGAGGGAAATTCGCATGCTGTGACATTCAATTCGCTGTTTCGATAAGCCATTTTTTCGAATATACTCACCGTGTTTTCAAAGACAGCAAGCGATCACCGTGACGCCAGAGTCGTGGCAGCCACTGCGGCTTACTTCTCCAAATTTTGTGTACTGCCGCACATTGAGCGTCGATACAACCGTTGGCTGCTGCGACCATTCGACATCAATCTTGTCTTTTTTATCGCAGTGGCAAAAGCGGTCATCGAAGGAGGTCCGGACCTCTTCATTCGCACGGGGAGCTCCATCAACCTGACATGCGAGATAAGCCGAAGCCCTGAGCCACCGCATTTTGTCTTCTGGTACCACAACGATCGCATGATCAACTACGTGTCGGCCAAGGGAGAGATCACGCTGCACAAAGGTGGACCAGACAGAACCATTAGCCGACTTTATATCCGCAAGGCAGTCTCACTTGACTCAGGAAACTACACCTGTGACCCGGCCAACGCCGAGCCTGTGTCCATCAGCGTCCATGTCGTGAACGGTAAGGGCATGTCTTGTTAGAAGAGAAATAAGCGAGGCGATAGGTGTCACATGAACGCAATACTAATGCCAAGGCATCATTGTACGCGAGAATGTATTCCATGTTCAACGCTTGTCACTGACTTAATTTTCTGGTCTATTCACTTCACTTCTCTGCTGGTACATTTTATACACATATATAACAAAGAAAACAAAAACCAAAAATGCAAGGTCACTTCACAGAGCTACATTTTTATTTTCAAAAGGTCATGTGCTTTACCGTTTGCTTCCTTCATATGCATACAGAGTGAATGCGACATTTATGTCACACAAATGTTGAAGATATGGCGAGTTCGTTCGTTGTAATTGAACTGGCATAGCGCATTGCGGGAAAGAAGAAATGGCCGAGCGAACCGACGCCAGAGGACAGATCGCTAAGTTATACCTGAGCTTTATTGGCAAAGTGCATCAGATATGTAGACTTGCGCAAGCATAGAAAACCAATCGAACATAACACCAAGATTAGACAATGCTATCGTACCAAGGTTTTAGAGATGATTCACCTGATTTAGAAAACTACACCCAGTTTTTTGTGCTTGGTGCATTATTTCTAATAAAGCTCCGTTGAAGTTAGCGCTTTGTCCTGTGGTGTCACTCTCCTCGACGGTTTCTTCTTTCCCGTAATGCGTTGCACCTGTTCAAGCAGATTTTAGGTTAGCCAGGCGTACTTTTCTTGAATATTTGGAAGTATTTTTGGAGCTCAAGTAAGTATTACTATTGAACACGATAAAAACAACAACATAAACAACGAATGATGAAGAAGAGAGAATAGACATGACAGGTAAAACACCTGAAAAGCATAAATTCCGATAGATATGAGTCTATATATCTTGTTCCCTTGTTAACAGTGACACATACCGATTGTGGAGGATTGTGGGGTTTCCAAAAGGTTCTGCCATAATTCTTCATCATCGTCAAGCATAGCAAAAAAACAAAAAAAAAATCCATAAAGTTTCTTGCAAGTGTGCAGCGGGTACGACGCTTTTCGAAATAGTCACAAAAGACCGCATAGTGAATCCCTGCGTACTACGCAATGATTAATGGTGTAGTGAGTACATTCTGAGTACAACTACAAAACATTTCTCGCCAAGATATGATCACTGAGCGCCTTCTTACATTGAAATCATTTATAAGATCACAACATGGTTTACGTACGCGCCTTAGTTGTCCACCGCCACAACCACCACCACCATCACCACCACCAGTGTGCGTAATCACTATGGCGCAAAATAAAAACAAATTTAGTAAACGAAAAAAAAAAAGCCAGGCCTGCGCTGAAGGCGCAGCACAGTCACAGCGACAGCTAGAAAAGCAGCCTTTCATTGATTTATACGTGGGGTTTAACGTCCCAAAACCACCATATCATTATGACAGACGCCGTAGAGGAGGGCTCCAGAAATTACGACCACCTGGGGTTCTTTAACGTGCACCGAAATCTAAGCACATGGGCATACAACATTCCCACAGTCACCTACCAAAAGAATCTGTTCTTAGGCTTTAAGAAAAATAATGTGCATTAAAGTCTTATGTGAGTACGATTTCCTTTTTTCACGCTACCAAAACACTGTCAAGATAACGCGTACTTTTGCACACCGGAGGGGAAGTAGCAATCCATAATTGAAAAAGGGTGGTATCTGGGGAGACACAAGCCTAACGCTTCAATTTCTCAATCCGAGTCTAACATTCCGAAAAACATTTTCACCCTATTGCATAAGTTACTTGATACAAGGATCATTAAACCAACACCACGTGTTATGCGGTCTAATCGAAAAGAACAAAAACCTGCAAGATGGACATTATCTCATGTAAGCCAAATTTTTAGGAGAATTGTATTATCCAGACTAAAATGATTGCAAAAGGAATGTAAATCAGTTGAGGCTGAGAATATAGAATGGCAGTTCAGCTGTAGCACCCTCAACTGACCTATGGTGTTGAGCGCACCACAGAGGAGCATGTCGCGCCCTTGTTAGCATCTTCACGCGAAATAGCTGATTCATTCTGTTTAGTTTTGAACTTGAGATCAGTGGAGATAGGAGATATGGTACGTTTATTAGTTCGCATATTGAGTTCCATACTCATTGTAGCACTTGTGCTAGGCTGAGGCGTATGTCAGTGCAAGTGAATCTGTGTTCCTGACTGCTTAGCCTAGTCTGCAGATGTAGACAGTTCGTCCAACACTACATTGCATAGCTGAGTGGCATCACTAGTATTGTCGGATACTGCAGGTTCTGTACTAGTCTGTACTGCCTTTTGCACAGCAGTTTCAATAGCCTGCGATATATCTGAGTCTATATATCTTGTTTTCATGTTAACTGTGACACTTACCCATTGTGGGGGATTGCGGGGTTTTTAAAAGCTTCTGCCATAATTTTTGATTGTCGTCAAGCACAGCAAAAAAAATCCAGAAAGTTCCTTGCAAGTGTGCAGCAGTTACCACGCTTTTCCAAATAGTGACAGAAGACCGCATCGTGAATGCCTGCGTACAACGCAGTGATTAATGACGCAGTGAGTATCCTGCAAATGTGCGCGATAGTTATCTGAAGAGTGTTTAAGAAAGGCTCTGAAAGGCCGCTCTTCCAACTTGCGCTGTGACAGTGCTGCGCGTTCCGCGTAGGTCTGGTGGTATTTTAAATGGTAAAGTAAATTAAGAATATATCGCTGGTAAAGGCAGAATATATCTACAAAGCAGTTGCATTAGAGACGCCCCGAAGCACGAGTTATAGCCGACACTGGGCTGGCTGTGGTAAGTACAGTTATTTCTCAAGGAACCGGTCTTTCTTTATCATCTGCTTTCTGAGCTTATCAATATGCTATTAAGCACACCTCATTGTTCATGCGAAGTCATTAAATAAACTGGAAGATTACGTGTTAAGCAGTACTTTCTGAGTTCCTTCTTCTGCTCTCAGTAACAGCAAAGTCGCTCTGCTTCGAGCACAATAGATAACGGAGCAGATCTTCCAAAGCTTAAAACGAGATTAGAAACCAAATTTGTTTCTGAAACTGGCACGGGAAACTCGCGAAACAGTTCTGATTCAGATTTTTCTTCTCAAATGCATAAATATTGGCCTGAAGTTCCCATTCCCATCTGCACTTTTCAACGTGCGAGATGTATTTTTTCTCTTACAGCTGCTTTGCCGTCCGCACAAGTTGGGACGTGAAAACCACCTCATCATCACTCATACTTATTGTTCTTATATCCCAAAGCATACGTTAATGTAGTCGTTCTATTTCGTAATGCACTTCCTTGGTAATAGCATATTGAATATGCTGTCTAGTCTTGCTACGCAAAGATAAAGAGCATATATAGAACCAAGCTCTGCTCCAACGTTACTGCGTACTTTTCAAATGAGCTCGTTTTATGCTTAAAAGACTACCATGTTTCGCGTTTCATCCTTTCCTCGGGATGTTTTCGAAAATTGCCTAACTAGTAATTTTAATTAAACTATACACCACGAATGCGTAAACTGTTCAAAAGCTGTTTCGCAGAGCTGTTCTCTATATTTATCTTCGATTGACTGTTAAAAAAAAGCGATAAATAAGTAGAGGAAAAGCAAAATGCAGGGAGGATAACCTAGTATAACACACTCGCAGCGCCCTTTACGAGTTTACCCAAGACGACCGGAAGCTAGAAGCAATCTTCTTTTTATGGGGCGAAGCTTCTTAAGCCGTGAGTCTGTACATACACGCATGTCTCGCTTGGTATACAGGACCACCTAGTTCTGACTTACTATACAGATGCAGACAGACAGACAGACAGACAGACAGACAGACAGACAGACAGACAGACAGACAGACAGACAGACAGACAGACGGACAGACACGGACGGACGGACAGACAAACAGACGGACGGACGAACGGACGGACAGACGGGCGGATGGAAGGATGGACGAATGCATGGATGGAACGATGAACAGATTAACAGATTGACAGACGGACGGACTCGACTCCTATGTTAATGCTGCAGGACGGTCGACAATGATCGAGAGTTTTTAATAAACAGTTTGCTACCCTGCATAGAGGTGGGGAAAATAGGGGTCGGAAAAAGGGCAGCGAGAGAAAGCGATGAAATAAAAAAAACAGTACGAGAAAATGCGCACACGTGCAAAACGTTCCAATCAGACCCATTTTCATTTATTGGTAGAATGGACAAATAGTAGCGCTTGCACAGCCTTTATTTGTGACACAAAGTCCTGTCAACGCAGCAACATTTTCACCCGAAAGTGTTCTGTCACCCAATTTATCGAGTGCATTGCAAAGCGACTGTCTCTGCGTACAGTATACTGTGGGCAGTCTCAAAGGATAATTTGTATCATTTTATAACAGCCGCTGTAGTCACAGGCTGCGGGAGCTATTTATATGCGGGAGACATACACATAAATAAATGCCACTCCAACTACAGAATGCTAAAAGTAGCGCCAACTCCGTGAAGAGTTGGAGGAATTCGAAGACTGAGATTCGAGTCTAAGGAACATGGTTGTGGTGCAACGGTGAGCAAGCACGTGGAGTTTCTTTGCAGCGTCAGTCCTGGAGACTGGTATTAATGTTTGATTGTTTTTTGCAGGAGTGAACGGGCAGCTTGATCAACCCGTTCATTGCGAATAATCTCGATTGATATGTGAGGTTTAACGTCCCAAAACCACCATATGATTGTGAGAGACACCGTAGTGAAGGGCTCCGGAAATTTAGACCCCCTGGGGTTCTTTAACACGCGCCCAAATTTCCACCTCCATTGGAAATGCTACATTTCCACCTCCATCGGAAATGTAGACTACATTTCCACCTCCATCAGGAATGTAGCCGCCGCAGCCGAGATTCGATCCCGTGACCTGCAGGTCAGCAGCCGAGAACCTTAGCCACTATACCACCGCGCAGGGGATTGCCGATCATCTTAAAGTCACTTGAAAAATAATGAAAAGTAATTTGTTCTCCTTTCTCAGTTAAATGAGCCAACTCTTCTGCAATTTGAGCTATATACCATTCGCTCATGTGGGCCATGGCGTGAAAGTGACAGAAGACACTGCCATGCCACAGTGCCACTATTGAGTCACCGAGCCTGGTCTATTTTTGTGCCCGTTCACCGCTGATGAAATACAATGCGACTTCAGGCGCGGTGAGCTCTGCTGTCGTCGATGTCGTAGTGGGGGTTGTTAAAGCTTTCGAAGTGATCCCCATAAGTTAGTAGGGAGGATTATACGAACACTCCTTTGTAGTATAGCCAGCCGCAAGAAAATGCATAGTGGTTCGTCAGAGATGAAGTTGCTAAGTTTCTCAAAAGGGGTCTTGGTTCGGGAATCGAAACCAGGACCAACTTTCCGGGATGGTTACTCTATCGATATATATAACGAACCAATTTCGCTTTCTAAAACATTTCGACGCCTTGCAAGATTCTGAAGAACCACTTTTCAGTTTTCCGCATTAGTGTTGGAGCGCCACCCTTCAAGCTAAACGATCAAACTCTGAGAACATTAACGGCTAACTGTGGTGTTGATAGTGCGAAAGTAGGGGAATCGTTCCATCAGTTCGTTTTCTGAATTATATGCCAATCAAGAAATTCAAAGACAATTAGGCCAACACTTACACATGGATCTGTATTAGAAGGATTCTTAACTGTCCCAGAAGAAGGCTTGCGTTCAACAAGCCTCTCCAAACGACTGTGATTGGAACGCCCTGCATGTGTGTGCATGTGTAATTTTCCTAATTAATTAAATAATAAAAATTTAGGTTTGTTTAAGTTTTGAATAAGAAATAGGCATATCTCTCCATCTCTATCTTTTTTCCGACCCTTATTTCCCCACCCCTGTACAGGGTGGCAAACCAGTCCTTCTAAGTCAAGCTCTCCATCTCTTCCTTTTATTCATTTCTCTCTCTCCTTCTCTCTAACAGTAGTGTAGTGATTTTTGCTCACTTGAATAAAGAGGATTAAAATACACCATTTCCGTGACTGATATCCGAGCCCACAATACACAACGGTCGTGAGTACGGATCCCACCGACGGAAATGGGGACAACTGAGAAAGCATAATATTGTTTTTTTTTTTTGGTTTCATCTTACATTGGTTTCAATACTTGTGTGGGCTTGATGGGCATTCTCTTTTTTACCAGTCAACCCGCTTGCCTTTTTGTAAGGTAGGAGACGGCATACGCTTCTGCTTGACTTCCTTTCTTTTCCTCTACCTCTTTCTCCCTTGCATCTACTTCCGGCTATTCCGGACATGACTATTTCCGCGTTTGCGAACGGCAGGCCGGCACCTGTTACCAAGATGCATTTGGTGCAGCCGGCGAAGGAGGTTGCAGTCTACCGCAACCTCCTTCAGGTCGTTGGCAGCGAGAGCTTGTCAGTTCTAAAACACTTCTATGTATCTCACCTCCTCACCTTCTCTCTCGCTCTCGCGCGCACATTTCTCTGACTGGCAGAGTCGCATATAGTGCGCGTTATTGCTTTTCGCCGTTGCTACGTTTCTGCTGTATATATGGCTTGGTTGCGTGCCCTACACAGGCGGATGTTCTCCCGCTACCGGCCCTTGCCTCAGCGCTCCCCGGGCGTCGGCATTGAATTGCTGATATTTCGCGAATCTAAATGGCTCTTAGTGATGGCAAGGGGGAAAGACACAAGGGCGTCATGAAATAAAACAGAACGATGCCTCCGTGCGCGGAGTGGCGCTCTTGCGCGGGCGTCAGGGGCGATATGCTGTTCCATACGCAGCCCCACTTTCTTCTTTCCTCGTCAGTCTCTGGCGCTGTGAGGCGTTATGGAATGTGCTGCCACTCGTTCCATGGCATGGACCCCAATATCGACCACTCTCGGTTCACTTTCTACTTCTCTCTCTCTCTCTCTTTCGTTCGCATCTTGGAAGGGTACTCCCCGGTGGCACGGCTTTTTATTAAATTTTATGTCCTAGAATGGACTTTGAATTTTCCAACCTTATTTTTGTTATGTTTTTCTGGTTATCATATAAAATATGGCGAGCATTTTTTTTTCTATTTTTTGTGCCTCCCCCTACAACCTCCTTTTTTTTCGTAAGTGAAAACAGAATGCCGCAGAAAGGCGTACTATGCCGACGGAGAGTGCACGTGCGAAGCAGAACGGGGCGTGGAAGGAACTGATGCAAATCCAATCGGCTGCAGGATTTATTCCTTTATTATGCTCGTCGTTTTGATGTGTATGTTCGTCTACTGCAGCCTGAGTGCACTACTGCGTAACACGGCCGGGAAGGACGACGGCTGAGCTACTTCCGCGTGGAAGTAGATTTAATCGCGCTTCGCCAAGCGGTTCTCGCAAATGTTTTTCCCGCCGACTCCCATAGCGCAGTTTATTGGCGCGCACAGTTTTAAGATGCGGTGTTTTTGAGAAAAATTATTTCTCGATCAGATGGTTGATATTTAGGCTTTCTAATCCTCTAAATGTATTTCTAATGGCAAAAAAAAAAATGGGCATGCTGCGTAGAACCACACTTGAGTTAGTTTTTGCTGCCGTTGACATTTGCGTAAACAGTGGGCAAATTTTTTTTTCCATAAATTTTTTCCTATATCTTATTACTTACCCTCTCTTCACATAAGATATACCCATCAAGTCAATATTTGTTATTAAGGGCATAATTTTTATCGAGAAACTCGTGACACACATGAGATTTAGAAGAGACGTTGCCGTAGCAATTGTTCTCTAGAGAGGGCTCTATATAGCGCTCTATAAACCATGTAGTATAAAAGGTAATCTATATAAAGTCTTCATATTTTGGCTTCTTAAATGTTGCCCACATGGCCGATGATTTCTTCGGAAGAATGATTACTAGCACAAAATTAAAAAAGGGGGTTACAAAGAAATACCTTCATATACAGCATGTCAGCTGCGCACTATGCCCATTTATTCAGTGATGAAGTCACTATCAGTGAAATAATAAGTGCACCGAAGATTCTGGGATATATTGAAATAGCTAGGTTCTGGGATATTGAGAGAGACTACAGTGTTTGTGAAAAAATCATGATCATTGAAACTTCAAACGCGCTTTTCACCTATCTGACGCTAGTTGTTTAGCTATAATTATCAAATATGAATCTTATGGGCGTAATTTAAAGGAACGTTGACCGTATTGAGAAGCGTATTAAGAAATAGGTCTACGTTCCTTATGCAGGCTCCACACTCCACTCAAGTGTTGTTTTGACAACAGTTTTGTGCAGTATAGTAACTCCGTATTTGACGAGTCGAGCGCGAAATGCGGAGTGTCTTTTGTAAGGTCACGGTCACAATTTTGATGGTGTCTTCAGTGGGGGTAAGTGAGCCATTTCGCCTAACAGTGATCAATTCCACAAGCATTGCTGAATTTCTCACGCGTTGCGTTTTTTGTGGATACTTTTAATCGCGGAGTTCTTTTGCGACTATTGCACACTGCCACTAACAAGAAGTTTACTTTAACGAACACTTCTGGATCCTACAACATTTATCACAGCTCCTTAACGTTTCGGCGGTCTTGTCCAATACCTCACACAGAGGGCAACACTGATATAAAGAACTGGTTTATAGAAATATCCATTCTTATATACCGATCAATTTTATTGATGATTAGGTTGCTACCTACATTCAATGAGCATTTAGGCACTAAAAGAATGTGGTCAGAACAAAAAAATATACGCACTTATATGAACAAATGCATGCTTTCTCCTCGAAACTCCGGTACATAAGTTTAGAGCTTCTGTACAATCACCTCCTTTGAGAGTGACATGTTTTGATGATGGAAAGAGTGAAATACTAAAGTTCGACTATCGCGTAGACGGCTTCACGAAAACTGAGTTGATCCCAGAAACAAGTAATTCTGCAATCGCTTTGCAATTGTGGGCTCCAATAAGGTGAACAGGGTAGGGAGGTTGTGTTATGGCATATTATTGGCAACCATGGTGCTGACAATAAACGTAATCACCAGAGCTTCTGGCGTTATGCAGAACATGGACAATTTAGAGCCACTAAGCACCGGCTTTAAAATAGCTTCTTTTAGTACAATCTTCAGGGTGTTCATTCATTTTCGCAGACCCCAAGCCTTAACAAAACTGCGCAGACAGTGTGTGTTTCTGTGGCTGTGTGGGCTATTGTGTGTTTATCAGTTGAGCTGAGTTTTTTTCATTTTATGCATTGCATACCTACATCGCCACACTGGGCATTACAGCTAGCAGAGGAAAGGGGGTTACATACCAAAAAATATACTAAGTAAACACACTCACAAAGCGTGGTAAAACACATCGTTGTTCAAAATGTCTACAACGCCTGACGATAGAGCATTCCATTTGTTATAGCTCGTGGGAAAAAAAAGAATCCGTGGTGACGTCACCCTTAAAAGGAAATTGTCGAACTTTCAGAGCATGGTCACGTGTCGACGAGATGTAAGTGGGTAACTTTAAACACTTTTTTTGCTCAATGCCGGTTTTATAATGCTATACAGCGTGTAAAAATTCAGTTTAAGGTTTTTTCGCCTATTTTGCAAAGCGTTCCATGATTACTTACGTTTATTTTTTGCATGTTTAACATCTAGAACTGTTGAGTACAAACTTGAACGCGTTGAACAAAAAGTATGCGAGCTAAACAGTTGTTTCTCTGCCCAGGTCTAAGTGTATAATCTCAACCATCACACAGGACCTGGAGTAGCTTGTCAGGCAAATAGACAAGCTAATATCTCCAGAATTTCATTAACAAATTTCTCTCTCTTCCTCTTTCTCTCTCTGAATTAGCATAATGTCTCACGTTTCTTACTTCTGTTTGCTTTTTTCATTGCAGGCGAGAAGCCAGCGGCAATGCAGCATGACGGGAAGCCCCTTTCGTCCTCGAGCCCTCCGGAAGTGGCGACGGTGCTCACCGAATTCGGTGTTCTTCTCGCCCTTTGTCTGGCGACTGCGTGTGCCAGGCTGAGGTAACAGAGTTTGGGCCCTGCTTGCACACAAAACGTCGAAGCTGCTGCGTCGACGGTGCGCTAAACAATCGTCCACTAAGGCTTGTTCTTGTGAATAGAACACTGCGACCCTCTGAATCGAAATCCACGGAGAAAACACGGATGACTCCATAGAGAGGGCTGCCCGCCAGATGACATTGTCAACAAGCCGAACGAGAGACTCGCGAGAAACGCTCGTGCACATCGTTCATCGCCGATGCCGTTTTTTTTTTCGCATTCAGTTTCTCTCTGGTCAATTTTATGTGTTTTCGTTTCCCGTTCATTGACGACTTTTCATTGGACCTTGCTGCGATTGTGCACAAGACTCAAATGACTGTTCGTGATACTCGATGTATGTTCCATAGAATTTCAGCTTGAGAGCTGTATTAGTGTATAATAGAGAACAAAACTACGTAGAAGAGGCTAACCAATGCATACGACAAGAAAAACGTGATGACGCGAGGTGGCGATTGAGTGAAATTGGTAATGCAGTGACATGTGGAATCGGTAAAGGAAAACCTACGACGGAAGAAGTTTGAAGCTTGAAGCCCATGGCAACTTGTGGACCTGAACACAACATTACGATACAACTTCAACACCTACATTCAGCCACTACATCGATGGTGCACCGGTGAGTATGCGAAGATAAGGCTCTCGCGTGCCTCTTCGTGATACCTTGTGTTTTCAGGGAATACGGTACAGGAGTGCTATGCAGGATCGCTCGAGTGTTCAGAAACTCGGGATCTTTCCAAGCTCTGGAGACACCCCCTGTTGAACTAGCCAACAGTACGAATAGGTCAAATCCACCCTTAAATGCGGTACGTTCGAATGGTTACTACGCAACGCGGCATTGTCAAGGACGGTCGACAAATTTGGGTGGTGTTTTCAAACTAGAGGCATCTTTTTTTTTTCATTTGTTTGTCGCTCCCCTCAGTGCAGAAGTGCACTTATGATATAAAGGTCTCACAAACATTCCCTGATGATATTTTCCAAAGTACGGGCTGTGTAAATTCATTTTGAAGCTTTTGATGCCTCCTCTAAGCATCGTTTAAAATAATGAGCATAGTGGCGTCTAAGATTAGTTCCGACCGAGTGCCTTAAAACATCGCAACCTCAATTAAACCTCAGGCCACGTGTTTAATGATCACGGTCAGCCTATACATTCTAAGGTGAGAAAAAAAACTGCACAAAATGGACGAAGCCACAGAAACCCAGTACACATTCGACATTTTTGCGCTGTTTTTCTCCCAAGTAAGATTGTACCAACGCGCTCAAGTCAAAGTCTTGCGGTACATTCTAGCGCGCTACTCGGCCGGTGCGCACCCTCTTCGTCTGCAGCTCCCCGAGCACGTGTGACCGGATAATTAGCCATTTGGTTGAGTGGTACTTATACTTGACTAGTTAGGCCAGGACATGATATGACTAAGCTAATTAAGCCAAGTCCTTGTAACACTGAACTCATTACACCACATATAATAAGACCGTGCTAATAAAAAATGGTAAAACTACGAAGTGGTAACTAAAGCATGCTTGTTAACACTCTAGCCAAACCATGCTAAGATAATAGTTTTAAGTGTGAATACACTTTATAAGCGACCCCAAACCATCCACCGCCGTCGGCGGCGTCCGCAGTCTTCTCTCTATCTTTAAAAGAAAGAGGACTTGGCGGGCCGCAGCGCGACGCTCTACCGAATAAGCCACGGACGCGACGCTGATATCGGTGTCAGTAACGCGCCTTATACCCCCTCCCCTTTCGCTCGCTCCTCCGCTCTCCTCGCTCGCTGCAGCTGCGCGCGCACCCCTCTCTCTCGCGCGCCCGCCTTCTCTCTCAGTCTCCCGTCGAGAGCGGGTCGTGAGGGGGAGTTAAGTTAAAATCCGTTGGCATTCGCCAGTGAGTTAACGTAAACTCCCCCGTGTGATCAAATTGCGATTCCCAGGAACCATTACACCATAAAGGCACCATAGTGTGATTAATAAATATAATAGTGCGAATTAATAAATACCCCTCATAGCATCACCCCGTGTATTCGCACTTAACCATGTTCACCCTCGGGGAAATGCTTGGGAGTTTTTTTATACTTTGCTAAATAATATAAAAATAATGAGTATCGTTCTTGTTAGGGTTGTGTTAAATGGCTCCATACTAATCCAGACCATGCTAATTACACCCGAGGAAGTTATATTATGTATGCTTACTACACCCGAGGTAAATTGAAACTTTAACCATCTAGAAAAAACTGTCAGTGTAATCAAAACTAAGACAGAGCGGATGCAGTCTTCACTTCGAATTACACTGAGTAGACAACCGAATTTAAAAGCTGGAAGAAGCTATAGGTGATCACAAAATAGTCTATGTCTCCAGCCTCGCAAAGTAGTGAAAGCTGGAGAAACTATTTCGCATCCAAAGAAGCTGCTGCTTAACATCCACGGCATGCAACGCTTGACATACCAGTACCATCACAGTCACGAGTTGAATTGGGGCTTTTCAAGATCAACGACTTTGTATTCTAGTTCACACGTTAATCAGTTTGATTGACAGACGCCCACTGTGGTCCGCCCACCATGTTAACTCTTGCCAAAGAGCCGTGCTCACGCCGCAACGCCAGCGCGCGGCACCACGCAACATCATCGCACTCACGACATATCTACTCACAGCCGCGTCACCATCGATATGTCTTGATATCTATCTGCGATATTTGACGGAAGCGAAACGAGCCGCATAATAGTGCTGCGTGTGCACTCTTGCTGCCTTCGAGGTTGAAAATTAACGTGCTGCAGATGGAACGAAAGAAATTGCCCGAAAGAGGACAAACGCCTACGAACACACCTGCGAGAGGCGCGATGTTGAGTTGGAAAAAAGATAGTGTGACAATCCCGCTGACGTCGCTCCATTGTTGAAATGGTGTCTAAGTCACGGCGCCTACGTGTTCACACACGGCGTTTTTTTTTTTTTTTTGATAACCACCGCAAAGGTCTCACATGCGTTTCTGATGACATGCGCATTCTTGCAGTAGTGTTTATGAACGCTACTACGTGCCCCACACTGTCTTCGTGCTATGACCACCATAGGGGAATCCCGGTGCAAACTCATGTTTCGGAGAAGCTCGGGCCATCCTCCATAGCACCCGAACACACGATAGCTATTCGTGTATTATTCTTACATAAGCACCATACATTGTTCTGCTTATAAAGTGACTAATGGCTTTCCTAGTGACACTCAGAAAGACGCTAAAACGGAGGGATCAATTGTTCTAATCTTAGATCCCTATTAGCACTGTTCTCACCATGCTGCAGGAAAATGTGAAAGGAAAATCGTGTTGCCGAGGAAAACCCGCAAAGCTATCCTAAGGAAATAGGCTTTGCGAAGCGGGTGCATTTTACATCCCCTTCTTTGAGTATTAGATTTTGGGAGCGTGCTGTGGAACAGTCATCACGTTGCGACATCTACACACAATCTCTTTTGGTTCCTTAAGCTGAGCGGAGGGGGGGGGGAGATGCACTGTTTCAGCCTCACGCCGCCATTAATTCCAAGCTTGCGTAGCAAAGTCGAGTAATGTATAAACCGCTTTAAGCTGTGCATCACTATTTTCACACTAACGGCTTTCGTGAAACTTTTAACTCTACCATGAGGACTGAAGAAAGTTGTATCAACCTTTTATGGAGGCATCCTTGCTTCGTCAAACTTGACTACGCGCTCAGTTAACCAGCTCATAACCATAGTGACGGCCAGCAGTCTGGTGCTTTATTCATATTAGAGACCAAATGCGTTTACGACATCATACCGAGTAAAGCGTGAGTAATTAACGCTTCCATTAGTGCAAAAATTCGGCTCAAGAAACGAAGACAATCGGCGATATTAGCGTTAAAATGATGCTAATAATTGAATTTCTCTTTTTTTTCTTTCTGCAGGTCCACTTGGTCACGTTCATCACGAAACCATCTTAAATATACGAGCCCCCGTTACTCAAAGGGGGCCATGCTATTCTTTGAATCTCAGGTTTTTGCGACACATGTGAGCATCACAGCGTTGTAAATGTAGTTCAGGTGCAGCTTTTGTATATGCTGTTTAAGTGGCCACTCATCGGCAGAGCAGCCACATGCAACAATGATAAGCGCACAACAAGAAAAGAGAACACAAAATGCCGTGTGCATTTCTTGTTGGCCAAGACTGCTTGTAAAGTGGTCTAATGTGTCTGCCACGTTGTTACGGGTTGTAATGATGTTTTAAAAGCACTCTATCGCTCTGCATGTATCGTTAACCTAGGTATCTTTTACCATGCTAGGAAATTTTTGTTGAAAGTGCTCTAGCTTGCGAGAACTAAGAGGCAGACGAATTAAACAAGAGAGCATCCTGTGCAGTGCTGCTTGCTTAGATGTCTGACAAAAGAGAAATTGTACATAATAACGTGTATGCTTATTAAGCCCGGCGAAAGACTCAATAATGAAGGACTTGAAAAATTGCTGTTTAAAATGCAAAATAAAACTTCTGTGGCGTGTACATAATATAGGTAGGCAATTGTTGTATCGATGATTGTAGCCAGGCTAAGAAACTTTTTATTTGCGAAAATTCTAGTCAACGTAACAAAATTAAACCAGGTAAAACCAAGTAAGTAATAAGTGCAAGTGCTCAAGAGTATAATGTTCTTTCAAGTGAATATAAACTTGTTCAAAAAGGAAGACACTTTAATGGAAGTTTTATACATATAGCGTGAGAAGAAAATAAAAGGTACGTATGCTCAACATTATTGGAATTTGCTCTGCTGTTTTCGAATTGTTGGAGTATTCAATCATGTGCCGCGTGCGCCTACATTTCAACTAACACAGTGAAGTTGGTTATGTAAATTTTGTAAATAAATACCAAGTTGAAATTGTGGAATGATGTCGTTGTCTTCTTGTGAACGGAAATGAGCACATTGTGAGGATAAAAAATATAAGCCAGCAGACTAGAAAAAGAATCCTCTTGTCAACATAATTGCAGGAACTACTCAGATTACTGTAAAACACTCCAATGTAGTAGAAATCTGCACTTGAATGGCATTTAAATTCATCATATTTTCTCGATCATTTATCTCAGACTCATCAAAAAAGTAGCCGATACTTTTTATCGTTTTTTTTCTGAGTGCGTATTGTCCGCAATGCCGGACAAGAAAGCAACAGCAATAGGTACAAGGACATCGATAGACTTTATGAACATCCTAAATTACCGCGTGTGAACACGGATGCAAGAATGAAGGAGACAAACACCGATTAACAACTTTAAAGCTGGAAGGAAATAGGGAGCACGAAAACATATCTGTGAATTGCCATGCAATAAGGAAACCTATCAATATAAGGAAACCTTGCACGACTGGGCTCATACGTGAAAGATAACTCTTAAGGCATCTGATTTAATCTTCGTACATGTTAATCAACGGTTGGCTCACGCATGTGCAACCACTATTATCGATATGTCATGCGTCAATCATCACACGCGTTTCG